AAGAATGAGGCCACTCATCCTAAAGGTGAATCTGTCTACATTAGGTAAAGCTTGAGAATTTCTTGTGGGGCTGCTGTGGTGACATTAATTGGAGTCTAAATTGGAGTCTGAGCTTGAGCAAATCAACTAACTGACAAATGGAGCAATCAGCATCAGGCAACAAGAATGGGATCAGAAATAAGACAAAAAGGTGAGGGGCAGGCAGGGAAAATGCAGATACAAACAGGAAGTAAGGGCAGAAAGTAAGTAAGACCCAAGGGATCTTAATCAGGTAGTTAAATCCAGTCAAGAAGACAAAGCACAGAAGACACGTTTGCCGGGTCAAGGTCAGAGGCTAAAGTGAATTCCGTGGATCAGTTAGGCCCACAGGCTGGGGCTGGAAGAATGTTGTGCAAAGTAAGCTTAACTACTTGGAGGACCTTCCCTCCCGGCTTCTGGGCTATCATCAGAACATCTGACCTGCTTAATTCTCTATCAGGTAATGACAACTTTCCACACCAGCAATGTTGCTGTTTTTGCAGCCAGTATATAATGGCTAAAAACATGTTTGTTCATTTCCAGCATCACTTCTAACTATGCAGTAAGGGCACTGTACTTATTAAAGGATCCTGTCCCCAGCTTCCAAACGTGTCTTTCCCAACATAATGGAACACTGGCCTCATTTCTGTGAATGGCTGCGTTCTACATCCCAGCAGGAAAAGGTTTTCACAGAAAAAAAAGCAGTTCAAGAAGTAGGAGCTCTGGTGGTGTATTGCCTGAGACATCTGACTGCTAACCAGAAGGCTGGTGGTTCAAACCCACCAGCCACCCCTCAGAAAGATGGTTGGGCAATCTATTTCTGTAGTGATACTGCCTCAAAAACCCAAGAAGGAGTTGTTATGAATCAGATTCGACAAGGTGGCGTCAAGTTTTTTTGTTTCTTTTTTACACTGGGACTTCCCAGCTCCATACAGACATGCAGCCATGCAATAAGTTTCGAACAGGGAAAAGGGAAGGGGAGTCTTCTAGGATACTGTTTACTCAGTAAATACTGCTTTCTAAGAGAAAAAGCCATGCTTAAGATCAGATCTGGTGAATCACATGACCCTCTGGGTTCTCAAAAAACCCCTAAAAGCCCCACAACTAGACCAATAAGCAACATCACAATAAATGGCAAAAAGACTGATGTCAGGGATTTCATTTTACTTGGATCCACAGTCAATGCCCATGGAAGCAACAGTCAAGAAATCGGACATCATACTGCACTGAGCAAATCTGCTGCAAAAGACCTCTTTAAAGTGTTGAAGAGCAAAGAAGCCACTTTGAAAACCAAGGTATGTCTAACCCAAGCCATGGTATTTCCCACTGCCTCATGCATGTGAGAGCTGGACAGTGAATAAGGAAGACTGAAGAACAGTTGATGCCTGTGCGTTGTGGTACTGGCAAAGAATACTGAAAACACCATGGATTGCCAGAAGAACGAACAAATCTGTCCTGGAAGATGTGCAACTGGAATGCTCCTTAGAAGTGAGAATGGTGAGACTTCATCACATCTACTTCAGTCATGTTGTCAGAAGGCACCAGTCCCTAGAGAAAGATATCACGCTTAGTAAAGGGGAGGGTCAGCGAAAAAGGGGAAGACCTTCAAGGAGATGGATTGACACAGTGGCTGCAATGATGGGCTCAAGCACAGTAAGGATTGTGAGGATAGTGTGGGATCAGATAGTGTTCCATCTTGTTGCACATGGGGTTGCTGTGAATCAGAGGTGACTGATGGCACCTAATAACAACAAGAACAAAAGGAGTCTGCTCCAGGATGAGTAAAAGTTATGAAGACTTGTATAGGGAGTTAACTGAATAACAGAAAAAACAGCTTCAGAGAATATCACACCAAGCGACAATTTTAAAGAAGAAATTGCTTTTTCATTGCTTACCAAGCCGTTCAAGCCAAGTTAAAACATACATTTGTACATCTTGGTGAAGGTCTGTATCACTTCTTTGTAACAGTGACTTCAGCAGAAAGGAACGTATTAGCACACCGTTTTTATATAAGCTGTTTAACATTAATGTCCCAGGTGTCTACTTCAGGAAATAAATTTAAGCTTATAGAAGACACCTCATAAGCACTATGGAGACATGGCTATGATGATGATATTAACTAACTAATGAGAGGTGGCTTAGCAGGTCACAAATATGGTACTAACTATAGCATTAAGGGATAATTTTGACCCCTTACAAAAGAGAACGTTGGGTAACACATTTAAAAATATTCCCCAGAAGACGCACTTTTGCACAAGTAGCTTTTCAAAAACCTGCTGGCATAATGACACTCTTGCCATAGACGAGGAGGCAGGCTGTTCTGGTTACCTAGTACCTCTCTGACAAGAATATGCCACAAATGGGATGGCCTTAACAAACAGGAGTTTATTCTCTTACAGTTTGGAGGCTATAAGTCTGAGTTCAAAGTGCCAGGCTCTAGGGGCTGTGTGAAAACCCCTCGACCTTGGGCTTCAGCTCTGCCTCTTGTTCCTGGCCCACTGAAGCTAGAGGCTTTTGTTCACTCAGGCAGCTACTGGTTGCTGAGGCTAACAAGTCCAAGGTTAGTCCTGATGTTACCAAACCACATGGTAGGCCATTAATTCAAGTCCATTTTAAGTCCCAAGGTCAGCAGAGCATGGCAGGCTTCTGAACAACGACAGGGCTATATGCACTGTACTTATTAAAGGATCCTGTCCCCAGCTTCCAAACGTGTCTTTCCCAACATAATGGAACACTGGCCATGGGTCCAAGCATGCATAACCTAAAGACCATTCCCCAAGGCTTCTGCTAAAATACAGGAAGCAGACTACATTGCCTAAGGCAGCTAGCTACTCAGCTGCTCACAGTAGATTCCACCATGGAGTTGATTACCAGTCTCTTCATGGGGAATACGACTTCCAGCTACCCAGCCACTCAACCAAGCCCAGCGAAGTTGACACACAAACTGAACTACCACATAGGCATGTCGTTGTTGTGTGCCACTGAGTCAAACCCGACTCACAGCAACCCCTCTTTGGGTTTCTGAGGCGGTATCACTACAGAAGTAGATAGCTCAACCTTCCTTCCAAGGAGTGGCTGTTGTGTTTGAACCACCAGCCTTCTGGTTAGCATTCAAGTGCCTCAGGCACCACACTAACAGAGCTCCTCCACACGGGCATAGAGGGATTTTCCCCCCTCAGTTGTTCTAAATTATTGGAATTTGAAACAAAATCATAGTAAGACAACCACATTTGGTCTACATTTCTAGCAACTGTCATTTGCCAAAGTAATCTCCTAAGTACTGACTAGGGGAAAAAGTCAAATTATATGACATAACTCAAATTTTTCTCTAGAAGACTGTATTGCAATGAATTATTATAGAAACCTTTTCCTTTGGAAAGGAAAAGAGCCAGGAAGACGTTAATATAAACCTCTAGGCAAAGGAATCTGCCAGGAAAATGACTACTAGTGATATAAACACAAGACAGATGTTCTAAAAGTAATTTAAAAGTTAATTAGATATGAAGTCTTCTAAGCATTACCCATGTGCCCAAAAGACAACAGCTACAAACTATACTTTTAGAATGCTTTATTACCATCTAAAAATTGTATAGTTCTGGGTCAATAATATAAAAAAAAAAATCTGTGAACTGGTAGAATTTTGACATTTTCAAAAATTCCATTCTTATCCAACAATTTCTTTTAAACAATAAATGTGTCTTGATTCAACTAATTTAAAGCAACTTCTGCATTTTATCTTTAGGATATAACTTCTATTGAACAAATAATCAAAAGAACCCATATCCAACCATCATTACACTCTATTTTCTTAATCTTTAAGAAATAGCAGAGGCAATGGGACCACAGTCATAGGGGACATCAAGCTCAATTGGCATAACATTACTACTTAAATCATTGTTCCACCTCCTACTTTGGGGAGTAATGACTAGGATCTTAAAAGCTTGCAAGCAGCCATCTAGATGCAACAACAGATCTCTCCTTGTCCAGAGCAAAGAAAAATGAAGAAAATCAAAGATTCATGAAAACAATTAGTCCAAGCAACTGGTACACCATGCGATCCTCAGCCTATATAAGACCAGAAGAACTAGATGGTGCCCAGCTACCATTCTCAACCACTAGGAGGGGGATCTATGTAGGAGGATCCTGGATAGACTGGGAGAACAATGTGGAGCAAAACTCAAAATCATTTGGGGGGAAAAAAAAAGGGACCAGGTTTGCTGGTCTGATAGAGCCTGATGGAACCACTGAGACTATGTATGGTCCCTAGCTGCCCTCAGATCTGGAATTGAATCCACTCCTATGGCTTCTGGCCAAACAAAAGACAGGTGAACATTTACACTAGGTAGATACACTCCTTGGAGAGAACAATCATGGGAGAATAGAAGGGGGCAGGAGTGCATGGAGGAAAGGACATAGAGAGAGGTAACTATGGGGAGGAAGTAAGAGGGGAGCTGTTGCATTGTGGTAAATTGTAATCAATGTCATGAGACAAAGTTTATGTGAACTGCTGTATGGAAAGTGAATTTGCTCTGTAAACTTTCACCCAAATCACAATTAAAAAAAAAAAAAAAAGCAGAGCCAAAATGATGACTATTGGATAAAAACTACTAAAGCTGTTCACTTGATACATTTCAGCTATATTTGTAAATCAGATTATAACTCAAGAATATGGTAGCTCATCACTATTGAATTCCTAGCTCTTTCTACTTAAATTCTTTCCTTATTATACTTAAAGCCCTTTCATTGATTTCCTAGTTTTGAATTAGGTTAAAAAACCCATAAAAATATTTTTCAAGTTCAAGGATTGTTTTTATGTGGCAATTATTTTTTAATAGTTGTATCAAAAAATTTCAAAAGAACTCAGTCTAATAAAAAATTCTTCAGATTATTAAAGTAACTTGAGATCTCCATTTTACAATTAAAATTGTATTTTGATTTTAGTCTACCTCCTAGAGAGTCTTTTAGTTGTACTTTTCTCCTACCTCAGAGCATGAATGCAATATATCATTCTTGGTATGTTTTTCCGATCATAGACATCTGTGGTTTCTGGATAAAATATCTGTAAAACAAAAGAAACGATGAGTTTATTATGGTTTGCTTTTCACAATTATTTTAACTCCTGCAAATAATCCTACTATGATTATCTTTTCTATTCTATATTCATTTAAATGTATAAACTATAGAGATGGAGAACAGATGAACAGTTGCCAGGGAGCAAGGGTAGGGGAGAAGAGTCCACATACAGGCATGACTCTGAAATGTTGTGATTTCAGAGCCAACCACCACAGTAAAGCAAGTATCGCAATAAAGAGATTCACACAAATTTTTTGGTTTCCCAGTGCTTATAAAAGTGGTGGTGTAGTGCCTAAGGCATTCGACTGCTAACCAGAAGGATGGCAGTTCACACCCACCAGCCACTTCTTGGAAGGAAGCTTGGGCAATCTACTTCCTTAGTGATACTGCTTCGGAAACCCAAGGAGGGGTCATTATGAGTCAGATCCTACTCAAAGGCAGTGAGTTTGGTTTGATTTATAGTCTATTAAGTATGCAATAGCATCATGAAAATGTTTGAAATATTGTGAGAATTACCAAAATGTAGCAGAGACAGGACCAGCAGATTTGATTCAGGGTTGCCACAGACCATCAATTTGTTGGGGTGGGGGGGAAGCACTATGGGCAATCTACTTCCCATAGAGACACCACCTCGGAGGGGTCGCCGTGAGTTGGATTCGACTCAATGGCAGTGAGTTTGGTTTTTGGCTTTATCTGCAAAGTACAATAAAATGAGATATGCCAGTAAAGGAGTTGTTAGGTGCTCCAGAGTGGATTTCAACTCGTAGTGACCTCACATTGCTTTGGTTACTTCATGCTACTCTAACAGAAAATACCACAGGTGGAAGGCTTTAACAAACATTTTATTCTCTTACAGTTTTGGAGGCTAGAAGTCTGAATTCACAGTGTCAGGCTCTAGGGGCTGGGGGAAAGCCCCTCAATGTTGGGTTTCAGCTTGGCCTCTTGCTCCAGCCCCACTGAAGCTGGAGGCTTTCTTCACTCAGGCAGCTGCTGGCTGCTGAGGCTGACAAATAAAAAGGCACAGTCCAGATATTACCAAACTGTATGGCACGCCATTGATTCAAGTCCATTAAGAGTCCCAAGATGGGTAGACCCCATGGCAGGCTACATGCAGGACTCAAGTGTGCCAAAAACTACAGACCATTCCTAAAGCTTCTCCTTATATACTGGGAGCAGACCACATCCCTAAGGCAGCTATTCAGCTGCTCTTCAGCTGCTCACAGTAGATTCCACCATGGAGTTGATTACCTGATTTTGAGGAATACAATATCCAGCTGCCCAGCCACTCAAAACCAGGCCCAGCCAAGTTGACACATAACCCTAACCACTACACATGTGACAAAGCTGAATTCCCCCATTGGGTTTTCTTGCCTATAATCTTTTTCTTTTTTTAATTTTTATTGTGATTTGGGTGAAAGTTTACAAAGCAATTTCTTTTTCCATACGGTAGTTCATATACACTTTGTCTCATGACACTGACTGCAATTTCCCACAATGTAACAGCTCTCTTCCCAACTTTCCATAGTTACTTCTTCCCTGTGCCCTTCCCTCTCATGCACTCCTGAACCCCTATCTGTCTCCCTGTGCATATATAGCCCTTCTATTCTCCTATGATTGATCTGTCCAAGGAATGGATCTACCTGATGTAAATGCTCAGCCCGTATTGCCAGTCTTTTCTTTGACTGGAAGCCACAGGGGTTCAATTCCAGACCTCAAGAGCAGCTAGGGACCATAGTCTCAGGGGTTTCACCAGGCTCTACCTGACCAGCAAGCCTGGTCTTCTTCTTCTTTTTTTCCTTTTTAAAATAATTTTGACTTTTGTTCCACATTGTTCTCCCATTCTACCCAGGATCTCCTACACGTGTCCCTCCAAGTGGTTGGCAGTGGTAACTGGGCACCATCTAGTTCTTGTGGTCTCCTGGTCATTTGGCTGAGGATAACATGGTCTACCAGTTCCCTTGGACTGTTTCCACATGTCTTTGGTTTTCTTCATCTTTCTTTGCTCTGGATAAGAAGAGACCCATCATTGCATCTAGATGACCGCTTTCTTGCCTATAATTTTTATGTAAGCAGAAGATCAGGTCTTTGTCCTGCAGAACTGCTGAACCAAAACCAAACTCACTGCCATCAAGTCGATTCCGACTCATAGCAACCTCTTTGGGTATCCGAGGCAGTAAATCTTTACAGATGTAGATTGCCCAGTCTTTCTTCTGTGGAGTGGCTAGTGGGTTTGAACCACCAAACTTCTGGTTAACAGTCAAATGCCTTAGGCACTACACCACCAGAGCTCCCTGCAGAACTGTTAGTGGGTTTGAAATACCAGACTTTCTGTTAGCAGTCAAGCACTTAATCGATGTGCCACCAAACCAAACCTACTGCCATCAAGATGATTCTGACTCATAGCAAGTCTACAGATCAGAGTAGAAATGCCACATAGGGTTTCCAAGGCGGTAAATCTTTATGGAAGCAGATTGCTGCATCTTTCTCTGTAGGTTCAAATCACTGACCCTTAGGTTAGTGGCCAAGCGCTTTAACCACTGTGCCCCTAGGCTCCTGTAGTGCCACCTGGGCTTCTTTATAAAAAGGAGAAGCACAAGGAATTTCCTCCATGAGATGACATAGTACTATATATTGATTGTGGTGGTGGTTACACAAACCTATTCATGGGGTTAAACTGGACAGAGTTGATATTAGGTGATGCAGAGTTAGTACCAACTCATAGTGACCCTATGTACAAAAGAACAAAACTCTGCCTGGTCCTGCACCATCCTCATATTTGTTGCTATGCTTGAACCCATCACTGCAGTCACTGTGTCAATGCATTTCATTGATGGACTTCCCCTTTTTCAATGACCCTCTAATTTACGAAGCATATCCTTCTCCAGGAACTTGTCCTTTCTGATAACATGACCAAAGTAGGCAAGATGAAGTCTGGCCACATTCTCACTTCTAAGGAGTATTCTGGCTGTACCTCTTCCAAGAAAGATTTGTTTATTCTTCTGGCAGTCCACGGTATTTTTAGTATTTTTCTCTAAAACCACAATTCAAATGCATCAAATTTTCTTAAGTCTTCCTCAGTCATTGACCAGTTTTAACGTGAATATTAAACAACACAACAACACACTGCCGTGGAGTTGGATCTGACTCATAGCAACCCCTCCTTGGGTTTCTGCAGCGATATCACTATGGAAGTAGATCGCCCAACCTTCCTCCTGAGGAGTGGCTTGTGGGTTTGAACCGCCAGCCTTCTGGTCAGCAGTCAAATGCCTTAGGCACTACGCCACCAGGGCTTTCACATGCATATTAGACAACTGAAAAGAATAAGGCTTGGGTCAGGGGCACCTTAGTCTTCAAAATGACATCTGCTCTTAAACACTTTAACGAGGTCTTTTGCAGCAGATCTGCCTAGTACAATATGTTATTTGATCTACTGACTACTGCTTCATGGACATTGATTGTGAATCCAAGTAAAATGAACTTGAGAACATCAATCCTTGCTCCACATATTGTGATGCTACTTATTGATCCAGTTGCGAGAATTTTTGTTTTCTTTATGTTGAAGTGTAATCCATACCGAAGGCTGTA